GAAAGATCAAAAAAAAAAAAAAAAGAGCATATCGACGGGAATAGGGACACTTTGATTTCCGGTCGTCCGAAACTCTGAGTGGCGAGCCAGCCACGTGCATTGCGTGAAACAACAACAACACAACAACAAAACAAGTAGCCACAAACACAGACAGAAGCAGCCCTGCGGGACTATGAGTAAACAGCACAGCAACTCTCAAATCCCGACATGTTTGGAATTAGTATCCGTGTTTTCTCCACGGCTCAAAAAGGGGAAAAAGTCGAACCCGCTAACTTACAGCTAGGCTAACACTAGGCTACAGCTAGGCTACCACGATTTGTGTAATACAGGAAAATGCTAACTACTGCTAACTAGCTTCTAACTACCTAACTAGCACTGCGAACGGTGTTGCGGCGTTTGCCAAGCAACACGTGAGACCAACGATATCGTGTTTTAACGCTTGTCGATTTGCATAAATATTTATTTAAAATGAGACTGTTAGAGTAAGAGGTTATAAGTTATCCACATAGTAATCCCCACAGTATGCATGAGCTCAACCGGGCGCTGAATGGAAGTTTTTAAATAAGTATTATTTTTTTTATTTTTAAATCTCTCTACGTTCATTCTGTTCGAAAAAGCATTTTGCATAAACCGACCAAACCGCACCGTTAATATAAACACGCTTACTAAATCGTTTTTTAAACAAGGTAGCACTGTCATCCTGCACTTACGATTGGTATTACAAAAGCTACCAGTACCGACGCTACACGTAACTTTCACTATACTGCTTTTTTAACCAAGCCCCCAAAAATAGGGATCTCCAAAACTTAGGGCAAAATGTGATTAAACAAGCAACCTCGTTAAAGACACGATGCTCATCATTGGTAATATGCGAGATTGTTGTCAACAAGTGCAGCAGCCAGCGCATTGGCGAGTAATATTGGCGCAATTTTCATGACGATTCTCTGCTAGGCGACCCAAACTAACAAAACAAACTCGCTCAAATACGCCGTAAAACAAACTATCTGCACAAAAAAATTTTAATTTTTTTCTTTGTAAAAAAAAAAAAAAAACCGTGTAAGTTAGTATGTGGTATGTAATATGGTTTGAGTTGATGTAAAGCGCAGTTATTAGCCTCGAGTTCCGCTTGACCCGTTCCACTACACAACAACACGGAGCGGCGGCAGGCGGCGGCAGCGGTGGCCGGGGAGGAGGTTACCCAGCCCGGCCTGCAGCTCCCACTGGTGACCGCTGGAGGGCAGCAACAACTCCCAGGGTTTTCCCTCCCAGTCCAACAGATCCGAGCACTACTATATCCTATACTGTATATTGTGTGTTACAGTATTTAAAAACACCTCCTGGTTGCCCGGCTGCGAAGTTTTAATTGTCAACAAGTTAATAATAATAATGTGAATAGTAGTTTGCTGTGTGTGCATGACGCAGCTGCCCCACTCACTGACTCTGACACTCCTTTTTTGGCAACTACACACAGCTTTATCTATTAAAGGGGCAGACTACTACTGCAACTGGGAGGCTGAAAACAAGCAAATATAGTTTAATTATTGTCATTGTTTAATTTATTATTCTTTTTTTAAAACATATTATCATTACTATACGCATGCGCCGCTTTCCCTTCAAAGTTGAGCGTTTTTCTCTCTTGCTGATAGTATTTGTGTTACTTTGTTTTGATTGTACTGTTTTTCTCTTGTACATAGTGTTTATATTATATTATATTATTTCCCTACTCTTACTGTTTTTATACTGTTTTTTCTCTATCCACTTTGCTGCTGTAACATTGAAATTTCCCCATTGTGGGACAAATAAAGGAAAAAAACAGCTACAAACAGCTGCTTTTCTCCCCTTTTGTATACATTTTAAATGATAATTATATATATTTAAAATATTTTACATATATTTTCAGTTATGTTTGTTTGTTAGTGTTTTTTATGTTATTGTCTCCCTTTTTTCTAAAAGACAATAAAGAGATGTTCAAATAAAAATATATATACTGTATCTATACAGCCATATCCACCTACCTCATGTATATAAAATAACATATGTTATAGCATCCTTTGCACTCTGCACTATTGTCTGTCTACAATATTATTATTGTTATATATATATATATATATATATATTATACCTGTACATAGTAGTTTATGTTTACCCTGTCGAGCTTGTTGTCCTTGTTTATTCTGAGTCAGATTCCTTGTATGTGTGTGTGTACCTGGCCAATAAAAGTGATTCTGATTCTGAAATGAAGACAGAATTCACACATTTTCCTTCCAGTAAGAGTTTCTTACAACAATAACTTACCTACTAAAATCTTCTGGTTCAACAAGCTCAACTGTGCAAAACTGAGTCTGTTTCTTGTCTTATTTTGAAACCAATTCAACCAGACATCCATTTAATCTTTATCTGCTGAAACATCCCACAAGAGACCGTTTCTCACCTATTGATTTAGTATTATTTTTCCCCATTCAGCCTCAATAACATCTTTCGTATTGTCCTGTAGATCATCCATTTTTTTAACAGGCTTTTTCCTCTCTACCTTTACATTAATTGCCATTTGTATGATTTTAACCTGCACAAATAAACAAAACACTACGAGTGAATAAGAGTTTTCCTGTAATATAATGTGATTTAAGTCTTTAATTATTCAAAGGAAAGTCCAGATATTTTATATGAACCCTTTTCTCCCCTTTTTGTTTCCCCTTAAGAAGATTTGAGGTAAAAACATTAAACCAAGACTCATTTATTATTCCGCAGGTAGGGTTGCATATTGTTTTTCTTATTCATATTGTGATATTCTTAAAACTCCAGTGTGTAGAAAATCCCCCAAACATCAGCAATAAAGGACATTCACTTTGGAAACTGATGTCTTTATTCAAATGTTTTATTACTGTTAACATTAAACATACATACTCAGGTTTAGTGTAGAGTTATATGAACACGGTTATGGTTGTAATTCTTTTCCTTCACATTGAAATAAGAAGAAAATGACAGAAAATTACCTGTTATGTCAACAGTTGAAAAAAAAACAACAACTGGTATTTAGGACATTACAATAAAAAAAGAAGTAATATTTTATGGTTTGTGTTTAATCTTGGTGTAATTTCAGCAGTTACATGACATTAATTAATAATCCTCACATGCAGAACTCTTAATAAGAACTACACTTAAAAACAATTTACAAAAGAACAAACCAGATGTTTTTTGATTTAATGTGAAAGGATGCATGCTGCCAACATGTGGAATGATCAGAAAACTACAGATCAAAACATCTCTATATCTTCTACTCGTAGCTCATCTACGACACACATGCAAATCACAAAACGTAATATACTCAACAAAATTAAATGTTCCTACTCTTCTTCCACAGCTATCTAGTTGTTAATATGTGATATTTTCCAGCACTCATTAAGCACTGAGACCATGTTAATGTCTTTCTGTTGTAAACACGTGACACACATTAATAAGAACAGGGTTTTTTGTGAACAGCACTACAGTGATTTTACATCAAGAGTTAACTATAATGAGAACGTTTTACCAGCCGGCAGAGGAAGCGATTGAAGGTTAAACTGAGGTTTCTCATACAGGGGTCGTCCTGCAGAGTCGGATCTACATGCAGTCTGAGAGGGAACCTGAACTCATCACAGTCACACAGTAACACAACATCAAACACACACACAGCTCAAAATTCAGTGTTTTCTGAAACTTCACTTTTTCACCACATTTAAAGGTTTTCATTAGATTTTTTTCCCCTTTGCTCGTTTTTAAATTGACAACAGAATGAAAATAAATCAACACACTGAAACTCAAAATGTTTCTCTGGATGTTAAATGGCTTGAAATCATCAAAGAGATCAATGAGATGGAAGGACTAGTTTATGCTTCGCAAGGTGGACGAAATGGATCATTTATTCTTTGGATTTTGCTTTTAAATGTAGTTTTTATTTCTGTTATGCTTTATCCTTCATGGGTGACCGTGTCTTTGTTACTAACATCTTGATGTTACTAACTAAACTGTTGCCCAAAACAGCTCTGTGATGAACAAATCATTTGAGCTTCCCATTGATTTTAACTGGAAAACACACTCATATCATTCTGAAGATTGAATGGAAACGTTACAGTTACATTTGGTTTTTTTACGGGGCCATTTTTTTTTGCTTATTTTTATTTTAAAATATTTAAAAAACAGGTAAAAAAAATCCATAATAACCAATCCAGGATTACGAATATAACATTTCTTGTACAAATTGTTTTGCAAAAATATTTACAGACTATGTTTATGTGATATTGGTCCAATATTTTAGCTGAATATTCATAAAAAGCTTCCTCAAATCTGTAAGTAATTGGTTTATAATTTTGGAATACATCTCCATGATACTCCAGAAAAACTGTGATCAATAATAAAACTATAATCTGATATAATACACTGCGTTATTTACTGTTTGATTCCGGTATATGTGATAGGTGGCTGCGACCAGCTGATATTAAAAAGATATGACTGCGAATATTGTTTGTTTGTTTTTGTGCAGATATAACAAAGAAGATATAGGACACTAATTAATCAGCTTTTATATGTGTAGGCTGATTTAGTTACCTTCAGACAGGCTAGCTGTTTCCCCCTGTTTCCAGTCTTTAAGCTAAGCTAAGCTAACTGGCTGCAGTTTTGTATTTCGTGTACAGATATAAGAGTGATATAAATCTTTCCATTTCATAATTTTAATAAGCGTTTTTCCCATTATCTAACTATTCCTTTGACCTGAATTAATCATCCAGAGAACGTTTGTGTTAGTACGATCCTTGAAAAACAAGTTGAGCCACAATATTAGAGAATCTCACCGGGGTTGAACACAACATAAAGTGGAGATCCGTGAGCACTGAGACTTTTTCAGAGCTTATATGTTCAGATTCACCTCCCACCTTTTCAAGGCCTTGAAAAGTTCAAGTTTCTTTACTTTCCCAGACTTGAGGGATGAGTCTCACAGTCCCGGGTCTGAGCTCATCTGATGGCCAGGATGGCGTCGTAGGACTTGCCGGTTCGGCACACCTGAACGTTGCTGAAGCCGGACTCCTTGAGCATGTGGGTGTACTCGGACGGCGGGCGCTCCCTGCCCTCCATTTGCACCAGCATGTTGAGGGAGAAGATCTGAGCCATGACGGGCCCTCGTCTGTTCTCAAACAGCATGGCCTCCACCAGCAGGACGCCGCCCCCTGAGAGGAGGACCAACAACATACTGAGCTCTGACAGTCGTCAATGTGTCAGAGTTTATCAACAGAAACGTGTCCAATTGTCACGTCGCCATTGGAAACATTTTGACCAATAAAAATCTTAAAAACAAAGCTTGATAGACACGTCCACAATCTATAGAGTCTTTTTTATCCTGCTGGTACGTAACATATTCTCTCCAGTGCACAATGACAAACCATTTGAACCAGAGTTGTCTTCTGTGTTTGGGTCAAGGAAAGAAACTAGATTTGGTTTTTCAGTCAATCAATCAATTTAAACCTTTAAAACGTTTTTCTGCTTTTATCTACATTCATATTAATCTAGCAAATAAGATGAAAGGGTCATGATGCTTTTGATAGTAATAATGGTATAGGCCGAACCCTTATTACAATTTAATTTAGTTTCCTTGATGATAAACAGTTTACATTTCCATCTTTACGTCAGGAAAAAAAAAGTTCCAGCATGTTTTGGGAAAATATTCACTGTAAATGAATAATATGCAGAGGAAGAGGAAGGACCTTTTTTATGCCCCTTGGTTTGGGTAAAGGACAGTCTTTGGGAAGAAAATCTATTGTACTATTCTGAAATATTTTGTACCTGCATGATAGAACAGTCTTCTTCAAGTTTAGACCAACAACTTGCTGTGTTTCTCTGAATTTTGTCTGTTTTTGAGGACGGCAGCAGCTAACAGATCGTGATCATCAGTGCAAAAGTTTCAAATGTAAAGATTAGGGCCACGAGAGAGGCTCAAACTTCATACACGCATACGAGTGAAGGTTGTTATAAACAAAGGATAGCTGACAGTATCCAAACCAAAACCAAAAAGGATTTAACTACTTGAAAAAGAAGGTGTAATTTCTTAACCATAGATTAGTTTTGAGTTTTCTTTGCCTTCTTTAAGAGGTTTTGACTCATAATTTTAATAGCTATACTTACATATGAACAACATTGTAAATAACCAAGTGGTACATTTGCATTTTATGTGCACAAAACATTAAATCCTACTAACCAGATGCACCTGACGACTGAGTGTAAATGCAGACTGGATGAAACTCAGCGTACAATCCTGTACAGGTCAGGTGGAAATATGGCCACACTTATACACTGATTCACACACACACACGCACGCACACACACACTCTTAAACTCACCTGGTTTGCAGGTGTTGTAGATCTTCTTCAGCAGCGTCAGGCACTTCTCTTCAGGCCAGTCATGAATGATCCGGGCGAGGACGTACAGATCAGCCGGAGGGATTTCACCGCTGAAGAAGTCTCCTGCGTATACAACAGAAAGTATGTGACCACTCGAACATTCAAACGTCTATTTTTGACCATTAAAGATATTTCCAACAATATACAATCTGGCCTTTACGTTTATATCACCTCCACGTTTACGTCGTCAGCTCTTCATACAGTAAAATGCGTCCGAATGAGGCTCACCAGTTTGAAATACAACAGCGTCGTTCTCCTGACAGAAATGTTTCTGAGCCGTTTCTACGACCTGCGGGAGGTCAAACACTGTGACACAGGAGGACGGATACGCCTTCGCCATCTCACGGGCCAGAGCACCAGTGCATCCTGGGAGTAATGCAGACAGAATGAGGTCAGAGTGTGAAATAAAACGGGGAGGGGGACTTAGTTTGAGAAAAATGTAACATTCCTTCACTGATTGATCATAATTTATTCTCATTCATATTATTTATTTTAGATATTTTTACAAGTTCAATGTGGTAAAAATGTCAAAAAGGGTATCTTTTTGGACACGGAATAATGCAAACACAGATTGTTAGCAATAAATAACTATATAAATATTAATAAAAATAACTATGTACTCTTGTAAAGGAGTTTAACCTCTTACCTCCGAGATCTACTATGTTCTGGAAGCAGGAGAGGTTGAACGCTGTTACAATGTCGTGTCCGTCAAGAACCCACGAGGAGTTCATCAGACCCATGAATTTCAGCATCTCCTCCTCTGACCTGGGCGGACAATAATAACACACAACCATAAAGCAGGAAGGTTTCAGCACTACGGAGTGATGAAGTTAGATTTAATGAAACACCTGAAGCAACAGAATCCACACCGACCTGTAAATAGCTTGGAAAATATCCTCCGGTGGAATACCGAAAGTCTTTTCATTCTGATTCTTCCCCTCCCTGCGTGGTAGAAAACAGAAAATAGTTTGTACTCATATTGAAACACAGTGTTTGTTCTTAGTTTCCTGCTGTGGAGTTTTAGTTCTGCAAACATTTCTCAGAGGCACAGCAGCTCTGGAGGCTATTAGTTAACCTTTCTGTGTTTGTACTGAACTTTCTGCCTCTCACTGCGTCAGTCTAACATTAATCAACCTGCACTGTGGAACCGATTGGTCTGTCTCGCTGTCAAAGAACATATCCATGGGCCTTATGAACCAAATGAACTATCAGACTTGGTTGTAACGTGTTGTCAAAGCGATCCAAGCAACTGAAAGTAGTTATTTATTGGTTATGATGCAAACTATTTACACCCTAGGTGTTGAGCCTTGACTCCTATGAAATCAGAAAAAAATACTGACAGGGTTCGATTCAAGTAAAATTTGAGTAAAAGTAAAAGTTGCTAGGGATGCACGATATGGATTATTTTCTGTCGATACCAATAACCAATAATTATTTGCATCTCATGGCTGATAGAGTTGAACAGTGTTGTTGAAGCTACCATTTTCTTACTTAAAATGTAGTTCAACTACTAGTTTAATGACTTAGTTCACTTCTAACCTGTAGTTTATGCACACCTGAGATGTAGTGAGCAAAGACAGAGGATTTAATATTAAATATCTTTGTTCTAACAGAATATGACAGACATCACTGTTGTTTACACAAAAACAAACAACAGTTCTGACTCTTCAAATGTTCAATTCATTTTTCTAGACAAACACACTTTTACTTCCATAGAAAATAAAGCCTATAAAACATTTTGTATAATAATCCAGATAAATTATTATTATTGACTGATAATTTATCGGCCCTGATATATATCCTGTATTCCTAAAAGTCCCCCTTAAATCTTTGTTTATGCATTTCGCACCTACTTTATTTATTGATTATGAGGCTGTGAGTTCATATTGAGTTGCTGTCATATTCACCAGAAACCTCACATTCACTGCTTCGTTGTGTTACTGTTCACACTGAAACTAAATTCTACATCTGTATATAATCCATCATGAATCTTGAATGCAACATTGAATACATCTTGTGTGATACATCCGCAGCTCAAGCTGATAACACAAACCTGATGGCGTCCACCATGTTGTTCCACAGCGGGTAGACGGTCTGGGATTGGTAGATGATCATGTCGTGAAGAGACTTGCCGCTGCCTTTGGCCAGATAAAGATTCGCCACGTCAGTGCTGCTGTACAGAGCTGTTCAACAAAAACACATTCACACTTTAAATCAGCGTGTCAACAGCAGTCAGGCACGCAGACGCACTCAAAGAGGATTTCATGTTGTTCTTTGTTATATCTGATTATGAAACACTAAATCTCTTCTGGTTTTGGGGGAAAGAATTGCATTAAAATGTTACAGTATGTTATCAGAACAATGAACAATAAAGAGAGCTCCTTCCTCGCAGCATTACCACCTGACGATAGCATAAACAATAAAGGAAGCGTACAAATGTCTCACTTTGATGGACCACTTATCTCAAGCGAGACTCTAAAAGCTGATTTTCACTGCTTCTTAAATCTAAACCCACTGAAAGAAAGAGATAAAACATAGTTTATGATTAGCATTTAACAGGCAATTAGATACGAACAGGCAAACTGACGGTACAGTGAGGGCTTATTAAAAAGTGATAAAGTATCTAAGAAAGACAAACTCACAGCGGTAGAAGAAACACCAGATAAACAGATTTTTCACAACCTGGGAACCCAGAGATTATTAATGGCTTATAACCTACCTATAAAGCATTAGTAATAGATCAATTCATCATTAATAAAGCCGTTAGTTGCAGCTTATAAACCCTTAATAAATGGTGCCTTACTAGAAAGTGGTATCTCCTTTAGTCTCTCTAAACAGATAAACAGAAAACAGTTCAAATTAGGTGGACTGTTTTTCATGGTTTCAATATCTGGTGGTAGGTATCCACATACTTTTGGCCACATGGTATGATACAGAGCTAACACAGAAGCCAATTCTGTTCATCCCTTCCTCCTCCTCCTCCTCCTCACCTGTCCCATCCTTGGTCTCCACCTCCAGGATCTCGATGCCCACCAGTGCGTCCAGCAGCCTCTCCATCCCGTCCACACTGGTGCTCAGCTCCCGGGCCACATGCTGGGCGCTCAGGGGCTCCTGGGACTTCAGCAGGAGGTCAAACACTCCCAGCTCACAGGCTGAAAAGATCACCTGGAGGGAGGAAGATACCGCCGCGTCAACAACCTCGGTACTGGAAGATCAAACTGAAATAACAACTATCAGACGGATTGTCATTAAACTTTGTGCACACATTCATGTTCCTCTCAGGATGAACTGTAATAAAACTGTTCCATCTAGAGCCACCATCAGGTCGTCACCTGACCTGACCTCACTGTAGAGTAGACATTGAGTCAGTGGTTCATAGAAGATCACGTGACATGTTTAAAAGCTCCAGAACAGCTACTGAATGGACCTCGTGGTTAGATCTGATTCTCAGTTTCTCTTCCTGAGGTCAAAGAAGTAACTTTGAGCCTCAAAGTGGATGAAAAGACCTTTAAAGTGCTCATGTGATACACTGAAAGCTCCAGAACAGCTACTAAATGGACAAAAAACACTGTACTGATTGATTGTTTAAATCGTTGATAGCAGAGTTTAAAAGGACAAATGCAGATCAGAACTTGTTTTTATTCAGATTTTATACATATAGTATCATGTTCTTTATACTGACAACTTTTATTAACTTGGATTTAAAAAGGAAAAACTGCATTATATCTCGACTCGCTTACAGTATCACAATATATCGTAATCGTAACCCCTGTATCGCTTTACGTATCGTATCGCCAGATTCTCCCCAAAACAAAGCCATGATTTCTAAACTGGATGTTGAATTATGTGTCTGTTAACGGTGTGTTATTTTGGTAAAGTCTGCCTCACAACAGAGATTTTTGATCTCAAGGGACTCAAAGGATTTAATAAAATATATAACTAAAATGAAATTAATATGTAAATGTCAACTTGGGCTTTGGGAACATTTTATAGACTAAACCAGTAATAGATTAACTGAGAAAATAATCAGTAGTTGCAGTTTATTCTGATTTTATACACATAGTGATATGTTCTTTATACTATGATAAGTTTAATAAACTTGGATTTCAAAAGAAAAATCACAATTTATCGAATCATAGCCCCCCTGTATCATGATGTTGTATCTTCAGACTGCTGCTAATACAAGGCCCTGATTCCTAAACTGGAATCTGTTTTTCATTAAGCTTTATTTCATAATTGTGTAACCTTGTAATGGTGTGCTATCTCCCTAGAAAGAGTATTTTAATCTCAAAGGACTTTCTTATTGAATAAAGGTTAAAGCTTGGGCGTTTCTTAACATTTTATAGCCCAAACAACTACTGTTTGCATCCCTGCAGCAGATTAATGAGTAATAAACAACATCACTGCAGACTGCACACCTCTGAGTCTATAATGTTCATAAAAAGAGGTAAAAATAAATCAACTGTGTCACCTTGGAGACCCTGAAGCCGTTGAAATACTCCAGAAGTTTGAATGGGTAGTCCAGCTCACTCTGGGACAGATGCTCTGCCATGTCTGTCCTCCTGATGGAGACACGGATCAAACACAGCCCTGAATCACTCAAAGGAATTCAAAGAACTTTATTGAGCGTTTTGCTTCTGATTGTGGGTGTCTTCAGGAGCATCACTCACCCGACGTGTTGGCCCCCAAAGATAATCCGATCAGTGGAGGAAAGGGAGGATTTATTGGGGGGAGTTTTTAGCCCAAAAAAAGAAACCAAAAAACCCCAGCCAAGATGTCGGTGGTGCGTTCAGGAGCTGCTGGGCGGGATGAACTGGGACTGAGATGGTCGACGGATCCTCAGCGGGTGAAACGCATCTCTTCTCCGGATCCTGAAGTGATCTGAGGAGCGCAGCTGTGATGGACGATGAGCAACAACGGAGACTAGTTTCACTTAAACACACACACACACACACACACAGACAGCTCTCAGCGTGAGGGTGCAGTCCCGGGATCATCCGCAGCAGCAACGGGGGCGCTGTGGAGCTGCTGAGCATTAAAACTCACACACCAATGAGCATGAATGTCAATCAGTGCTGGAGAGTAACTGAGTACATTTACTCAAGGTCTGTACTCTAATACAGTTTTAAAGGTACTTTACTGTTCATTTTCTGTTACTTTATGCTTTTATATTACAGAGAGAAATATTGTATTTAACAGTTTAGGTTACATTGCAGATAATCAATATTCCAATTTGTCTGCATATTATTCCCCAATATATTAATTTCCCTATTTATTTTTCCACATTCAATTATTTCCTTATGTCCCCTCTACTCCTAATTTATTTCCTCATTTATTTCCAAATATTTTATTTCTGTATTAATTTATGTCCTTTAAATACTAATTATTTACTATACCACATAATACATGTTGTTTATGCAATGTTATTTACGTTATATATTTATTTTTCCCACATTCATTTCTTCTTTAAGGTGTTGTGCACATTTATATATGTCCTCTTTGAGCACCCGTAACTAAATAAACAGACTGCAATTAATTAAAAGATTTAAGTTTTTGTTTTTCAGAAACCACCTTTAAAAAAAACCATAATTCTTTAGTTTAAATTTTAATATAGTGAACAATTCTGCCGTTAATCTCTTCTCTCTTCTTGTGATCAGTTTCTTTTCTTTCATTTCTCTTTGCTTTTGAGCTCAACATCTGGAGTTAATAACAGTTCGCCCAGAGGTTTTGCCATGAAGCTGTCTGCATGTTGAACATTTTGTTCCTGAGTTTCTTCACAGCACCGATTCCACCAGATTATCTCACTATAACTCCGTTCAACTAACTGTTTTATGGTGAGTTAGAACCTCATGTACAGATTTATTATTCAAATCATGAACTAATGTTGAAATGTGGAGTTCATTTGAACTTGTAAATGCACTCAGAGTTAATACATTCATACCTCCTCAAATATTAAACCCATTACATTCCTGTTTGTATTTGTTTTGTCCTTGTAGGTAAACAGTCCCGAAGCACAGGAGACACTTCCCATTAAACGTTTTAATGAACAATAAAAACCATGTTCCTGGTAGAGATCCAATCACGCCGTCTTTAAAAAGCAAATAAAATTCCAGACGTCTTCAATTATTAACCAAATCGATTTATTATGCATGAACAAATCCCTTCCTGCCTCTGTCACGCAGACACGCACACACACACACCCAACATTTAAATACATGACGTGGTGGGAAATTCGGCATAGCTCACTTTGTTGTTGCACATGCTTTTAATAAAATGATAGATATATTTACAGGATAAGCAACGTCTCAGAAAAAAATAAAATAATAAGAAATCGCAAGAACAGCTCCCGGTCCCGCCCTGCAGCACTTTGCAACGCTCCTTTTTTTGTAGGTTTTTTTTTGTTGGGAAGTTCACCCACGTTTAAAAAGAAGTTCAGAACTTAAAGAACAGAAAATAAACACAAACCATGGGGGGGTGTTTTGGCCAATACGACATAGCATTATACATATATGGAGTTCATCAACTACATAAATATGGCAGTAACACTGAGTAATTCATACGGTCTATTTACAGAGTTTGTGAAGTGGGGAAATGTTACAGTCTGTGCGTGGACGACTGACAGAACGGATGCCTTCTTTAAAGTCTGGGGGACCGAGTCTAGGAAAAAAAAAAAAAAACCCGACACCTCCATCCCTCCACTCGCCTCCTCTGTTAGAACGGTCAGGACTGACACAACGAACAAAATAAGGCACAATTAATACTTGGACCATTTTCAGGGGAATCTACAGACTTGCAGCTGGCTTGTGAGGCATGTAAACAATTGAGTCGATTGATTAGGACTGCCTTATCACCTTCCCTTTGTATTCCCGATCAGTGATTCAGTCCGTCTGATGTGATTCAAAACAAGATTCATATGGCAGGGACCTTTAACCCCCTCCCCCAAAACCCCAGTCGAAGAAAGCGAAACCAAAATAAAAAAACGATAACCTTCCCTCCCGCCCGCCCTCTATGCTACTCAACAAATACAATCA